ACATGCAAGCTGCCACAGCCTAGGTTTTGCTTTACAAGGGGAAGTTGCTGTGTTATTACTGAAATACTCTCCTTTCCTGAACAGAAAATAGTTGAATTCCTCAAATTCAGGATATTATCTTTTAACTTCTAAGTGATTTATTTTTTTTAAATCTGAACAAAACAAAACAAACAAAAAAAAAAAGCTAAATTAAATTTCCTTATTCTCGCTTGTAAAAAATTACAACCATACTTTGGGAGGCCAGGTTTAAAGAGCAGAAGAACACTTCAGATGAAAATCCCAATGACAGCTGGCCAAGTTTGATGTTAGGTTCCAGAAAATCAAAACTACAAGTTTTAAGTCAAAGCGAGCTGTCCTAAACAATAGGCCTGCCAATATAGTTTGAATTTATAAGCCAAAAATTTGACTGTTCCAAACCTCTTCCTTTCACTGTAAATGGTTTTGGGGTTAGCGATGCCATGTGTGCTCCTCTGCTCCTTAAGCTAGATTTGCATTTCTTATATGATAAATATTTTCTGCTGAACTTCTGTAAAGGCCAGGGCAAACTTTTCTGATACATGTGTCCATGTATTCCAAGATGGAAAACCCCTCCTCTTTAAAGTGCTAAGAAGTTCCCAAGAAAACTACTGTCTCAACTCTTACATGTCAGGAAATGCCAGTTATAGTAGCTCACACGCTAATGGTTAATTCCTATTTCCACCTAGGATACCGAAGCTTGTTCCAGCCACACAATTACTAGCACATTCCTGTGTCACATCCATGATTAGTGATATCTGCATATTATTGTCAAGACTCTATAGCCTCTCAAATAGCATTTATCAAGGAAACTTCTTGAAGATGTCACCACAATCATTCGAAAGTAAAGCTGGAACTGTAAATATCAGTCTTCCCATAACCACACCAAGAGAAGCACAAAAGTGGAACTTGGTTTCTGTTCATCTCTGTAGCACCCTGGAGCACAGACACAAATTTGAGGCTCATTTCTACAGCAGAATCTGTTGAGAGCTCTCAAAACACTCAATTAGATTCATTTATTCAACTAGAAGTACAGAAACGGGTGTTTAGCGTTAATTAAACACTGTACCATCTAAACTGCCTGAGCAGTTCTGAATGTGGCAATTTATGCATTAAAATAAGAGGATGGAAAAGGTAGTATTTGTCAATTCACCCTGAACAGTCACAAAGCTGTTCACGTCACTAACCACATATTAGCGTTTCATTCTAAAGCTAAACCTCCCTTAAACAGTCAAAAGCAGATTTAAACCAAGCAGGTACTGTGCCACTAAAACAAATACCCTCCACCACCAAACACGTAGGAGTTTCCATATGGCAGCAAGTTAGAGATTCAGGCTCCCCAGCTGCAGTGGTCATGCAGCCTTGCAGGCAGCAGCCTTGAGGTAGGGCAAGGGGCCGAGCACCACTCAGGAGGTAGAAGCAGGGGCTCACAAAGGAGCTGTCACAGCTGGTGATGTACTTTTGCAAAACATCACTAAAACCATCAGAGTTTGGGATTTTCCTTCCCAAAGGAGCACCCGGCTTCTGCCCACAGCTGCAGACCTCTGAGGTACATGCTGCCACTCCAGCACTAACGGCTCCTCACTCCTACTCCTTCCCACAGTGAACCACTGCACAGTGGCATACCCATAACACTTCGGGTATGGACAGACCTATAAAACTAGACCCATCATTGTTTTTTCTTCCTGACTGGATGCCTGAACTGGCTCCTCAAGGCCACGCAAGCACCAACACACACAGACATGAGGGCCGTAGAAGAAAGGGCAAGTCTGTAGGAGTGCATCCATAGCCTGCTTTGCACAGATGGGCTAAACCATGTATTTAAAGCCTCTGGGAACACATCTGTTACTGAAGGGATGAGAAATACATTCAAAATTAATATGCACAATGAATAGCAGGGTTGCTAAAAGATCAACTCAAACAGTGGTGCAAGCAGAAGATAGCTTTCCTTGGCACTTCATGCAGTTACTGTAAACGGCTGATTTCACCATTTCCTCTGTACTGCCACTTTTCCTTTCTCATTTGAGCTTAAACAGGAAAACAGTTATGAAGTCACAGGAATTCCCAGGGGATGAGGAGGGGAGCAGTAGTCTAGAAAGACTAAGCTTGCTTTTGCGATTAGCCCCCAGTTTGACACATGGTTCTTACACTGCTGGTGCACATACAGCTGTCTAAACAGAAAAAATACAGCATGCATGGTGTTCTCATCAGCCACACACTATTCATTGCCATCAATGCCAAAAAGGTTTTCATCTGGCATTAACCAGTGCAGCAGTGGATCCTGCTATGCAGTAACCAAGTTTCTAGGACTTTTAAATTCAGAAGAAATTTTAATTTCTGAATTTTTATATTAATTCTAAAATGAAAAGCACAGAAACTCCCTGGACAAAGCCTGACAGCCTGACTGTGAAGGTATTATCAGAGGCAGCTGTTAATATTGACAGCTCTAAGATAATGCTTGTAACAAACAGGTTTGAGCTCGGGCAGACTTCTGTGAGAGATTCCTGCTTGGCTAGAAAAAGCATGAGCAGCATTGCTCAATCTCCTTTAACCCTTCAACAGCAGCCTCTCCACTTCACTCCATATGGTCTGGCTGCATTCTTGACAGAAGACATTGCCAGCAAGTCCTGATTTCGTTCACAGCCATATCCCATTTCAAGTGAGCTCGTAAGAAGTAACTGGACATTTGTGCAATTGGGATGCACTGGGACATCCTGGGGGTGAAAAGGAAATCAAACCCAAATAAACCCATAGCTGAATCACCTCCCTGTAACTTCAGCTTTGCAGGGAAAGCGGGAGAGGATAGGGCAGGTTTTACCAAGAAGCTGGAGCTGGGCTGCACAGCCTCAGAGTGGCCTGACAGCTCACTCCAGCTCTTCTCTCCATTTGGCTGAGCAGCCTGTCCCTGACCCCACTGCACCCTCAAACTGACTCTGACCGCCCATTCGGATGGTCCATGTTGCTAATCTACCAAGGAAATTATCTCGCACTGGGGAGTCCAGAGCAGGACCTGCCCCTGGTTACAGCAAGCAAGCCGTTTCATCAGCTTACACTGCATTGTGTCACTTCGCACTTGCTCTACTGGGAGAAACAGAAGCACAGCTCTGTTCTTGACATAATCAGCTAAGCATGTTTATTTTATCGTATTTTTAAAGAGAAAGCTGAAGCTGCTCTCAGTTGGCTCTGCAGTAGTTAAGCTACGAGCCCCTGCCTTACGAGCTAAAACCTGACTTTATATTTCACCCCAAGGTTATCCAAAGAGTTTGAAAATTGCATGGAAGGGATCCCCAAGAAAAATAAATGTATGGCCAGTTGAGATTACATTAGCGACACCAGATCCCAAGCATCAGCATAAAGGAAAAAGAAAATCCCAACAAACAAAACCAAAACAAACCACAAAAGCAAGGTAACGCTTCAGTGTTCCCTGAAACAAAGAAATCTTATGGGATGTTCCCCCAGCTAACTAACAGATTCTTGAGTATTCCTTATACCACCGTGGCAGAAGAGTCCTTCTCAGCCATACAGTAAGTACACAACAAAACAGTGACTCTTCAGCAAGTGTTGTCTTATCCTAGGAAAGGAGAGAAATCCTCAGTACCAATAACTGGTATAGAAATCATATTTAGCCCAGCTTCATAGACTTGACTTCATGCTCCAAGATTACTGATTTTACACAATTTAATAGAAATACAATGTATTTTTTCTTTCCATCTTCAAAAGAATAATGAAAAGGAAGAGCAAAATGACCAGTTTCCTGTATGCAGTTCTCTTTCCTCCATCTCAACACTACCCACCGCACCCCCCCTTCTTTAAATAGCCATTCCCATTCACGGCGTTTATCATACAGTAATTAGAAGATTGCACAGGTTAGCAGTGAGAATTTCATATATAAATTTCACAATTCATATCAGATGACAGGCCCCCAAAAATCCCCTTTCAAATTGCTTTGAAGATCTTGAACTAGTTCCTTAGCAGAGAAAGGTGTTCCATTCAAGAGTTTAAAATGCCCCTCCAAACCAAATCCACAAGTCTGCCTAAGAGTCACTGCTCTTAAGAATTGAACCAGACTTGGGCTTAAATGCAGTATTATTGCAGAAGAGCAAGCAGATTATCTCACAAGAAGAGAATATTACATTTCTAGCAGCACAACTCAGTCTATTTTTAATATACCAGACTGTAAAACCTGCCATATATCAGAACAGCTGAAATAAAATTGATACCAATCTTGTAACATCAGTTATAAATGCAAGAGAAACTGCTATTAAAGCCTGAATCAACAGTTGCAGTATAAATCCGTAATTGCTATAATTTCCATAACTTCACATTTTCCTTCTCTCAAAAGTTTTCAAGGCAGACCAAAAGTTTCTAGTACAATATCAAATTGATACAGTCATTATGCGTGTCAAACAGACTAGAACAAATAAACATTAAACCACATCAGATTAATTCCATTCTAAATTCCAGGGGCATTTCTAATTTTTTTTTTAATGACATGTTGACAGTTTTCAGACACCAACAGTAACACTGTTGGATTCAATAAATAAAACCATTATAACTCATGCTTTATTCTGAACAGCTCAAAAGCATATCTACCCCTTCCACACTCTTCTATCCAATGTCAAATAACAAAACAAGGTCATGCAGATTACCTGTTGAAATTAAGTCTTTCCCCTACAAGGGCAGAACCTAAAGTATATTCTTGGAATGGTACTCAAGCCTGAAGGACCCTATGATTACAAACATTCAAAAACTCATCTTTTAAAAAGGATGTGAAGCTGCAAAGAGGCCATAAACCCCAGTGTCAGGGCTGTTTTTTTTTTATCCAGCTGATGCCAGGAGCAGGTTTACTGCTGCTTCCACAGGAAAACAGAAACCACTGGAATGGAAACAGATGTTCTGTATTGGTATGATCGTTATGTTCAAACACCCTTGCTGAGAAGAGTTCAAACAATTAAAGCCCAAATTGCTTAGCTGTGAGTTTTTACCTCAGACTGCAGGTGCTGGATCACAACTGTTAACGCTTCAAACTTCTGGTTGCTGCTTGTCAGGAATCTTTTCAGCTGCAGGATGATTCCACTTTGGGTCTCACATTTTGTTTTGTACTGTGTCAGCTCGGCTGCTTTTGTACCAAGTGAATGTGCATCTGAGGAGGCTTGAGCTGGTACGCACGAGCTCCTGGGATTCCACGGCTTGCCCTTGTCAACTGAAAAGCCAACAATAACTAATTAATATGCAACATATGTTGAATTATCTCACCAACACTTAAAGCACAGATGCAAAAGAAAGTAGTTATAAGTTCTTATAAATGCTTCCTGAAACACTAACTTGGAGAAAGGGTTATTTCAACAGCACTACAGAGCACATACTGCCACCTGCCAGGTTGATTTCTAGCACCATATAATGTTTGCAGTTCATTCTCACCTTCATATATTCTGTGGCTTATTTTTCAGCATGCTCTTCACACTGTACTCTGAATAAATATTGTCATAAAATGCAAGACCTCCATCATCCTACCTAACCAGTAACTTATTCCTAACGCAAGAGTTGACCACTTTTGTTTGCAACATGCAGTTATCTCCTGCACTCTAAAGTCCTGGTGAATAAAAACCAAAACAAAACATTTTCCCTACATTTACTTGGCTTTTCACTTGCTTTCAAAATTTTTATTGTAAAACTCCCCTCTCTGCAGCTCACATTTGAGCTCCATTAACTAGGAGTCTTGTAGCATTTCTGTGTCAGCAATTTCAGTCACAAGAATGAGACTTTTAAAGATAAGACTTTTAAAGATGCTCTAAAATGAATGTATTTCAAGTTTTCACTGCCAGTATTCACCGTCCAAGAATGACATCACTGATTTAATATTCCTACTAATGCTGCAACCTCAATACCTTCATAGTACACAATCACCTCATGTCAGACCACATCACATAATTCAGCACTTGACTTAGAAACATCACAGAGGTTACAGGTTTCTCTGCTGCCTTCAGACTGGAAAGGGAGCACAGTACTGCTGTGCAGATAGGGCCAATCTTCCCCATTTGATCACACAGGGAATGAGCAAACAGTTTTGCAATGAAAGGCTGATGCAATATATAAATATCCCTTGGCAATTTAACGAAAACATCTAAGCAGATTACTTTGTACAGTTTCATCTTAACAAGATTTCTTCCAGATAAAGTGAAAAAACCTGAGAGGTGAGATTTAGAGAAAAGAACCGTAGGAATGTGTGGAAAAGAAGGGGGACAAACTAACCAAATGAATCCTTTCTGAAGCCCAAGCACTTGAAGGTTGTCAAGTGACTCTGGAATAGTTCAATCACACAACTGGAGACAGTATTAATAACAAAAGCTTTGCTTCTTAGTTAATATTAGTCTTACTGACACGTCAACCATTGTATTACTACATCAGTCTTGCACAGCCTTCACTTGTTTTCAGAGCATTTGAAAACAAGTTTCCTGTTCAAAATACTGATGTTCTCCGTGCCTCTCTTCCTGAATCACATACAAAGTGCCTCCTAAGCCTATTAATTTTCCAAATACATCCTCTCTATGCAAGATTTTCCATCATTCCTCATAGTTAGGGAATTGTCCACACACTGCTTTATCGCGTTCAGATGCTCTTGTGTTCTTGGAGATTTCACTACACTTCTGCTCATGAGATGCTGACTGCTAAAGGGCCTACTGTGAGTTAGAAAAATACCATCTTGCAGTTTCGTAGTAGAGCTGTTAAAAGATGTAACAACATAATAATCCAAATCAAAATACAAATCTGTAGGGAAAAAAATAATTAAAAAAAAAATCGAGGTTACCTGACCATTCTGGTTATTTTTACCACCATTTTAACTAATGTGACCACTTCTTTTCTCACAGTGCAGACATAACGACCTTTGAGTACATCTCTTTAAATGAATGACAGTTCACACTTGAGAGCAACCATGTCAGATTTCCAGGAAGGGAGAATACTGTGTTTAGGAAAATACTGGTTACCTTCTGAAGCTCCTTCAAAAATCACAAGAGACAATCAAGGAGAGAGGAGAAAAAGAGCAGAGAACAAACATGCACAGTCAGTCCTTCCCTGCCCTCCTGGCTCACATACTCCTACTCTCTCATATATTCCACCTCCCTTCCTGAATGCTCCACTTTAAGTGGAGAGCTAGAGCATTCTTCCTGATTTAAGGGTACTGGGTAAACCCACTGATACAGATGCTAATGTCATCATTTAATTAACTGTATGAAATGGCTTTTACATCCATTTGTAGGACTCTTGGCAGAGCTGTCTTAAACCTGAACAAATGTTTGCAGACAACTTCTATTCTGGAAAAATATTACATCATACCTATCACACCTAATAAAGTTATTTAATTTAAGTACAGTGATAAAGCAGCTACCCACAAATGACACAGGACTCCAGATACCCACTATTTCCAGCATTTAGCCAGCCTTTATCAGTTTGCCAGTTTCATGCCACTGCTTTCATCAAGGTGCCCAGACTACTCAATCCTTTCCTAGAAGCTAATTCAAACATCCAACCAAGCCAGCCCTGGACACTCTACTAAAAAAAGCTGAACAAAAAACAGGCACTAGAGAAATTCAGTGACATTGCTGTTGGCAATTTATCATAGACATGTGCTACATGCAGCCACTTCAAAATGTTGAAAAGCGCTCCTCTGCTATCATGAGCATTCTGTAGCATGAACTGCCTCTACAGATTAACACCAGTGACACTCTGATGCTTATTTATGTCCTACATACCTCTGGGCAATAACAGAGCATTTCTAGATTTGTACAGAAGGCATGCTGTGATGCCAAAACAAAAACCATGCTTTCATTAAAACAAAAGCATCATGAGCCTAATTACTGATACAACACATCAGTGATGAACTCTAAATTAAAGACAGTACTGGTTACCAGCCCAAGTCCTCCTTATGCTGGCCTTTATACTTGCCACCTTTATACAGTCAGACTTGTAAAGCAGAACAATTTCCACCCTCAAGTTGGACTCCTCTCCAGGCTTGAAAACCCTGTACCAAATCTAGCTGAAATGCTCAGTTTCTGAAGACTGAAATCAGATTCACAAGTACCACACATAGCACAGTAACTGGGAAGAATCAGCAAAATAAAAATCAGCAGGAATTTTGCAAAGCCTTTTGATCACTGAATCATTCACAGAAGATTCGACACCTCGCTGGCAAAAATAACCCCTGACCTTGGAAATGGTCCAAAAACCCTCCCACCCCCTCTACAGTCACTATGGAGATGGCAGCAGCCAAATCCAGTTCCTTGGGGAGAACATTAGATCCATCCCAAGCTTTTCAATGAAAAAACCCACTTCCCATAAATAGCTTCTCTGGTTAACAGGCATTCAGAAGCAAGAAATACACAACTGTTCGTACATTAGGGTGTGTGTTTCATTAAAGTTACATTTAAGTGCTGGGATATTGCCCCAGTACTTGACATTGTACTTTACTATCTCAGAGCTTGCCTGGTACCACTGGTTTCCTCAGCCTCTTTATCTTGTGCACTGTTGCTGGATTACTAGAGGAACCATCCATCGACCACTTTTTGGTTTGCAGAGCCAAACTGAAGCCTTCTTTTGTTCCCATGTACTAGGAAGGTCTGTGTAGCAATGTTTACACCAGCTACAATTAGGGGATTTTAAGCAAGAGATTAAATTTCTAAAAAATTACATTTCTTATAAGCATTCCCAATAGCCTGAACAAACCACTTGACAAGCGCAAACAGGAACAACCTCATTTCTCTCCCCACACTTCTGCAATCACCATTGTCTTACCCCTAAGCACCTTCTTCTCACATTCCTCATCCAAACTGTTAGCTTCCATAGGTTTTTCAAAACCCACGTGTGAGTTGTATAAGCAATTTTCAAAGAAAAATCCTTCCTCAACATTTTGTCTTGTAGGAAGATGCAGGCTGGTAAAAACCTTCTGCCTCTCCTCCATTTTCTGGAAAGCCTTGTCTACACATGTTAAATTGGTGCTCACTTCTTTGATCAGTAAGACCAGATCAGCCTGAGTATTTAATCGAGCTTCCATTTCTTCTCTTACTCGCTGGATTTCCTCAAGCACAGTTCTTATATCCAAGTGACTGGACTTCACCTCTGCTCGGAGATCTTCTTTCACCTGTTGCTGGCTCCTCTGCAGTGCTAACACTGTTCTGATTTCCTTCTGGGATGTTTCCACGTCATGTTTTAGCTCCTTCTGCCCAGCCTGCATCGCCTCCTGGCTAGCTTTCAGCTCTGCCAGCAGAGCCGCGAGGCACTCCATCTTAATCCCACAGGAGTCACAGGTCTTCTTCCAGCGTCACAGCTTCCAAGTGGTCAGGGACATTGGTGAGCTGGTAGCAGCTTTCCCAGACAGCAAGAGAGCTAGCACATAGCCCTATGGTATTCTGCCACAGCATGCTGCAGTGAACTAGGTAGAAGTCTAGTGCAAGGCAAGACGAAGGCCGTAAGTAAGAGCTCAGTAAGCAGGGCTGTGAAGCAGAGCTGCTCCTCAGGCCTCAGCCAGAGCACTAATCAGTTTAATTGGCAGATTATGCCACACCTGAATTTTTTAAAATCTTTTGCTGACATCACTGTACATGGAACGTCACCCAAAAGCCACTCCCAAGAGTCACCTGATCTGCGCATCAATCAAAGTATGCCTGGGCATCAGGAACCACGTCTGTTGCAACACAGGCAAACAAATCTGCAAGAACAAGGCAGCCTTTCCTTTCCAACACAAAGGCTCAAGAGGAGCCTGAACTGCCTGCAGGAGCTGAAAGACAAACAGTTCAACAGGGCTTAGTTATTTCAATTGTATATTCATCAAGGTGATTGTGCACCTGTCCTTCTGCTAATGTTTGCAGTGAGAGTTCAGGAGTACCTCTGTGAGCATGATGGATATTGCCTCACTCCCATTGAATGCCCTTCTCATTCCCCCAGCTGGCAATGCTCTTTCAGCAGCCTTTGGAAGAACCCAGATCCTGAGGAAGCCCTCTAGTGCACAAACAATAAGCAGTTACCAGAGCAATATGGGAAAACTGACTAACGAGGTATTTTTGGCAGGTTAAGGAGGATAAGCCTTTTAGCTACCAGGGCTGAGAGTTAACTTTTACAGAGAAAAGCTAAGGCTTCTTACTTTTAAGCACAGAACTCATAAAAGGTGTAGGCTTCACGTAAAACCAGGTAGGTTAATGACACCAGGCT